TAAGATAAATATAAAAGGCTTCGTTGTGTATACACTTGATCAAATTTAGAAAATAAGGTATATGTTACATATATAGCCATTTTTACTTTTGTTTCACTATGAAGCTCACACAAAACTCCTATTAATATTTCCCACTACACTCAGAAATACCAGAGGGAGAGCTGACGTCCCAAATCATCTACAAATACCATGGTTAAATAAAATTATCTCAATCTACCCTGTAGCAACAGTTGTAGATTAATAATTCACCAAATGTCATCTAATTCCAGAAATAGATGACATGTACCACACACTACTATAATCATGCAAATTTATACATAATTCAACATTTACAATGAGGAATGAACAACTAAATATGTTCAACTAGTTGGTAAACAGATTTCAATAATAGTCTCAGATGGTGACAGCTGTCAAGTTAATTTTAAGACAAGAAAAATTATATTAAACACTATAGAGACTCATTTTAAAGGTTTCATAAACAGAATGTGGAGGAGGAGGAGGAGGAGGAGGAGGAGGAGGAGGAGGAGGAGGAGGAGGAGGAGGAGGAGGAGGAGGAGGAGGAGGATGGAGGAGGAGGAGGAATGGAGAGGGGAGAAGGGAGAGGGGAGAGGGGAGAGGGGAGAGGGGAGAGGGGAGAGAGAGAGAGGGAGGGGGAGAGGAGGAGGAGGAGGAGGAGGAGGAGGAGGAGGAGGAGGAGGAGGAGGAGGAGGAGGAGGAGGAGGAGAACAGGAGAAGGAGACACACGAAAAGCAGAAGAGGATAAAGGGGGGAGGGGGAGATGAGTCATAGAAAGTACCATCAAAAACATTCAAATTACCATTCTTATAAAAAAAAAGTCTCTTACATATAAAATTCTTAATACTAAATTCTGCTCATATTAACCACACATCAAGTAAGAAACTACTGAACACTCATAACATGCTTCCAAAGTGAAGACATTTCTTAAACAATAAACCACTCTAGCTGTTTTTGTGACCTGTAACCATCTCTCCATCACTTTGCAATATTCTCATTAAAAGTTCATCTTTCAATCCTCATATCTGGGAGTTCTGATTAACCCTAAGATATATGTTAGGTGAAGGGCTGCTTCAGAGCCAATGGATGTAGGTTTGGCATTTTAGAAATGCACACAAGCTATCACACAATTTATTTAATAATGTTCCTTCATGTCTGAATTGATAATTGAGCAAAGAGTAGTTTGTTGTCTCATCATAAGTCTGTATAAAGAGACAGAGATGTATCAAAAGATAGGAAAGATGAATCACAAAACTACACAATTCTCTACATACAGCCTAATAAATACTAGAAGGGGGCAAACCAAAATGTCTAAACTTGGCAATATGTGGGTGTGCATGGTAAGAACTCTATCATTATGACAGTGGCTTATGCACACTTATAGTGCAAGGTATCCAGAATATAATGATAAATATTCTTACATATACACACTTCTTTAAATCTCCTACATAAATGCTTCTTTTGATTGGGGTGGTGGGGAGGGTTAACACAAAGATTAAGCAATGCAAGAGTGAGATTGACTGAGGAGAGAAGAGAGGAAGGGGTGACAGTTGTATATAGCTGTTTTCATTCAGGAATACATAAAACTCTGATTTGAAATTTAATGACTGTGTTAAAATAAATGTGTTACTATTATTGTTGGCTACCTAATTACAAGGACCACTAACAAAATGAAAGCTACACGTCTTACATGCAAATAACAATTACAGCATGTAAAGACTAGTAATACTTGTGGATATCATTTATAAAAATGAATGTTAGCAGTTTTACTGTTTATGTATGACTGTATGAAAGGTGGTAGGGTCTGACCAAAACTGCATAAAAATGAATAGCAGTGTATGAAAAATATCAGTGTAATACTACACTTACATAACACAGTGGACAAGCTTTTCTTTACCATTTTCACAAGGAACAAACCAAAATAAAATAAAGCTTTATCTGATCCACACCCTACCAAATCCACAATAATTATATGTCCCTACCTCATTCCGTACCTGATTGGTAATCTGGTTGTTGAATGTGAGCGTAACTGAGCCATTTGTAGAGTGGACATAGTTAGGCATGAGAGAGGGTGGAAGAGCTTGTGCCTGTGAAACAGTTGCTGCTGTGGCATATGGGGGAGCTGGCCGTCTGCATACTTCCATCATCTGATGAATAAGAGAAAACGTCTTTTTGTTTATAACACGAGCTAGAAAGAGTTGTATTTCATAAAATGGCAATCCTCCATTTACATTATCTGAACAAAACTTTGACACACCTGCATGGATGCCTTCACATTGGAGCAGTGTGGATAATCTAGAAGGTGTTGTAAAGTGACAAAGCTGTGTTGTAAAGCTTCTCCAGGTGTTATGCGTCTCTCTTGGTCCATGGTCAGCATTCTTTTGAGAAGATCTATGAATTCACGTCGATCTGCCTTCTCTGCCAAAAGCTCACCGCCTTCCAGCTCCGTGGGTACATTAACCTGACCCATATCATCTAAACAGTT